CCGCCTACTGCGTCTAGGGTGCTCTGAGACTGTGATCAACACGCTTGTGCAGTCTAGAAAATCAACTACGAATCTGACGTATAACCGGGTCTGGTCAAGGTTTCAAGAATTTGCTTCTTCAGCGGCGTTCCCAGCCGATGCGCCTCAAGTCACGCATACAGTGCATTTCCGGTTTTACTATGCAATGCAATGTACAGCCTTGGATAAGCTGTATTGCATTCACTGCAGTGAAGAAACAAAAAAAACACCCAGAGGTTTTTATAGTGGCTGGCAGTGGTTCCCAGATTAGAAGCCTAGAGCCTAGAAAATTAGAAAAATGGCAGTATAGACATTTAATGCTCTTTTAAGCCAGTGTATTTAGCTCTTTGCCAACACTTACATAATATGGTGGGGAAGGGTCCCTTCATCTGGTTGGCTTTTATTGCTGTCTGTGACAGCACTGGGGAGATAAGTAATAGATAGATATCTTGCTGCACTCCTTACCCGTATAGGATGTTCCTTGAAATCCTGGTGGGTGCTCGTAGTGACCACGGATGGCGCCGTTGGTCATTCCGAGCCTGATGAAGGGGACCCTGTGCGGCCCTGAAAGTGCTTGTACTGGAATGACTGTACTCCATTAATAAATTGACTTTTGTTGATTTCACTTAAATGGTGTGCTGGTGACATCCTTCAGCACTGGGGCGATCTCCCCTCACTTTGTGTCCCTATGAAAACTCAGTAACACCCAGACAAGAAATGGAACTGGGGTCAGCAGGCAGGAAAGCGCAGACAGTAATATACTCATTAAAGAAGTTCTAAACTTTTGTCTACTGCAGTTGAACATGTGGCCTGATCCAGTCTCTGTTTCCCCTGAAGCAATGTCCCATCACTTCCTGTTTCAATGGCCCCCTGTCACAAGAACAGGAAGTGAGGGGAAATCTTTTTAATAGGAACACATAAAATGAAATAAAAATTACACAGAAGCTCTACACTGCACTACCCAAAAAATAAGTTTTGGCAGGAATCAGGCTTTAAAATAATAAAGCAGATCTACTGTGTAAATTCTGCAATTAATAAAAAACAGCCAGGGTAAAAATCTAAACGGTTTCTTTCACTGACTGTAATGTATACCTTCTGTGAGAAACAGCAGCTATAAAGGCTCCCTATTTAGGGCACCAAATGTGATCCTTTCATTCCAGTGCAGATTTAAATGTCATCTCTTCAGTTTGCAGATGTATTGTATAGCTAGGAGTGAAACTAGAGACTAAGGCTACAGAAACCACAAGCATGAAATCACTGTTAAGTCATCCATGCACTCCTTTAAATTCTCATAGCGATAGTGATCACCTCTCCTGGTTTCTTTCTTTGCACAGCCACTCCTCTTATTGTTAATGCCTAGCAGGTGAATTGGCCAAAGGTATGGATTTGTATGTTTACAGAACTCATCCTTTAATTGTTTGGTAGAGTTATATTTCTGAAAATAGTTTTATGAATCCAAGTATGCAAACATGCTGCGGCATGTGATTCATGCATTGTGAAATTGTATTCTCTGGAGCCACAATAGTGAATGAATACAATGTAATTAATAAAACTTAACCTAGTTCGATGACCTAAAACCAACATTAGCATACCTCGCAACATTCCCGGATTCTGCAGCACAGTCCCAGATTTTGACCCAATTCCTAGGGTCCTGTGAACCTGAGCATTGTCCCCCATCACCCCGCTTGATCCCACTGCCCCTTGTCACTATTCACCTCAGGCTGCAAAGTAGGTATGTTATGGTCTGTTCTGCCTGTCTTAAGTCAAACATTAAAACATGCAATAGTGGGCGAATTATCTACTAAGTAGAGAAGATGAAAGCACCTTGGGGACAGTTCAGATGGTGTATGGGTTTATATGGAGGCAGCTGATGTTGATAATGGAACTGGCTAAATTCCTTGTGCCTCTACATAACACACCCTCCAAAAGATCTCATAAACTTCACAAAAATTATTGACAGACTTGACTCTGTGGTTATTGTTTTTCTGTGCTATTAATTATATGTTACTATTGTATTAAATACTTGTTTTGTGTGAGAACCACTGGAATATCAATTTTACAGGAATATTTTTTTGTCATTGAATCTCAGTTCCCTTAAAAAAAAACTGTATACAAACCTTTGATTCAGATCTCTTTGTTCAGTTGGGTGATTTCACAGGTCGTCTACATCCCTTTCATCCTTTGGTGGTGGGTAGGCCTTGGGTGTTGCAGAGAGTAGCATCATGTAATGATGCAGAGCCACTCTCTATAGCAATCTCTGTTGCTTCTACAGAAATCTCTGGTGATTCTATAGAAAGCTCTGGTGATTCTACAAAAATCTCTAGTGATTCTAAAGCAATCTTCTGTGATGCTATGGGCTCACAGTAAGTGGGTTGAATGGCACTATGCGGAAACTTGGAAGAGGGGCTGTGCTGAATCAGTGAGCAGTTGCATTCTGATACAATGACATGGTCATTAGCAATTGACTACACCCTTTTAAACCGAACCAATATGATCACACCCACCGTTCACCATAGTCTGAGGTGCCCGCTGCTCCCTCTTCCAAGGTGTCCCTCTTTGTAAAGATCGAAAGTTAAACGGAATGCATTGATTTCCATGACTTGCAAAAGCTCTGTATGTAAGGATCAATGTCAACAGAGATTTTGTTCACTTTGAATAATGTCAGGACCGCAGTGCCACAACTCAAATTAAATCATATGACTGAAATCAAAGCACCATGTAACTTGCTTTTACATCTATCAGGAATATTTATTCACTGTGAAACACTGCTGGTCACCCTCCCTAATGCTTCAACCGTCATTTAAACTGGGCCTAAACTTGGAGCTAAAGTTAGCTGAATTTCACAAAGCAGAGTAGAGTCTGTGCTGTGGAGCACATTGAGGTGTACGTTTAATAAACTGTGATAAAACTAGCTTTATCACGAGTTAACTTTACTCAGCAGATCTCTTTGTTTTTCTCGGCTGCACAGAGGCCGTTTAATAACCTGCGAAAAGAAAACTTATCTCACGTAACAGCTGTGAAAGGCTGAGATAAGTTATCTCAGTGATCAGTTGAGAAAGCAATGTGGGGAATGTATTCTGAGCTGCACAATGAAATCCTTTGTGATAATCTGCAATCCTCCTGACAGGATCGTAGTTTAATCTGCCAAACCACCCATTAACAATATTACAAAACACCGCTATAGCAAAGTGCAACAGTTATTTCACCGCTACATTTAAGAAAATTGCTAAAAAACAGGATTTACATGTTCTGATTTGTTCAGCATGTACCAGTACAAAACCATGAATTAAACTACCAGAGGCAGCCACAATGCGAGGCAGTGATGGGGTTAAACATTCTAAAGGGGCACTCTGATGGAGCCTAGCAATGTAAGTGGGCACTCTGACACATGCTGGAAATTAGAATGTTTGGCGTCCATGAAAAAAGCCTGCTGTCCCGAGATAGGTGCATCAGCACTGTGTGTGTGCAAACACACTAGCAGCAGGTATTAATGCATCATAAACGGCGGACCATGGTGGCGAAATGGTGTTACAGACTGTTATGTGTGGAGTGCAATGTTCACTGCATCTGCCTCAAAAACATACTCCCCAGACATCCTTCAAGCTTTATTTGGTGGGCCTGTTTCTGAGGGAGAGTGAGACTTCAACAACAAGCCCTAAGGTCACATGACCTTACTGAACTTTCCCTCACACTACACAGGTACAGTGAGGGGACTTGAAACTGCCACTGTCACTCTCATGAGGGAAGGGTGGCATTAAGACAGACTTCCCTCCTGTTCCCTCTCAAGGCTGTGACACACTGCAGGCGAAGTGAAGCAAAGGGAAAAAACCCCCAACCGTCCACTTCGCACCACACCGCAGCTTGGCTACACTGTAGTTTGTCTGGCACAGTGGAGCTGGGGATCGCCAGCGGCAACGGAGGGGGGGCGCACAAACGCACGATAAACGTACACCTGAATCTGGTTAGGCAACTCTTAAACACCAAAGAGTCTTAAAACAGCAACTTGAATAGTATTTAGATAGTTAAGGAAAAACATTGCCACAATAATAGTTTTGGAGTCTATTAGTATTTATTTTATCAAAAAATGTCAAGGTAACAAGTTAATGCATTTTAGGGGTTATACAGGTGAAACTCGAATAATTAGAATATCGTGCAAAAGTAATTGCAGTAAGTGCTGCAAAAGGGGCCCAAACCAAGTACTGAGTACATCTGCATGCTTGTACTTTTCAGAGGTCCGATATTGTTCTATGTACAATCCTTGTTTTATTGATTGCATGTAATAATCTACTTTTTTGGGTTGTGGATTTGGGGTTCTTGGGGTTTTCATGAGCTGTAAGCCATAATCATCACAATTATGACAAATCACGGCTTGATTTATCTTGCTTTGCATGTAATGAGTCTATCTCATATATTAGTTTCACCTATTAAGTTGCATTAGTGAAATAAATGAACTTTGCACAATATTCTAATTATTCGAGTTTCACCTGTAAATACACCCCCTTCATTGGGGCTTAAATTGCAGGTAGAGATGAGAATGGACTCAAGGAAGTTTGAACAGGCTTTTTACAATAACTAACTGCTGAAGGCCGTTCATAAAGCAGGAGGTGATTCTACCCCAGCATCCATCAAACTCCCTTGTGACTGTGACTTATCCCAGTCTGCAATTTGAAGGGAGTGTTTATAAAGCCCCTAAATGTGTTGAAATAAATACCGTGGGACTCCAAGACTAATGGTATGACAGTTTACTAAAAATTACATGGGTACCGGATTCTGGAAATCTCTCAGAATCCCAAAGTTCATTTCTGGCTTCTGGCTTCTTTACTGGAATGAGTCAAGTTCAGCTGTAAAAATACTGTATATAGCCATCTATAAAATGAATACCCCCCAGAATAACTTTTAAACTTTTCATTTTACATGTAATGATCTTTATATTAACATTTTGTTGGCTTTTTTGGGACTGTGGTCCTTTGCAGATTCCATACCTCCGTGCGATATCACTTTTTGGTAAGGTTCGATAACTTTCATATTAATCCTTTGTTCCTGCTCCCCGATGATGACAGTCCTCCATAGCTTGTTATCAGCTCTCTCTTCCTCTGCTGTGTATTCTTCAATAGATTCAAAATTCTGTGGCACTGAGTGCCCGAGTGCCGGTCGATCATCTGAAAGAAATTAGTATATGCAACGCACTAGTATGAAATCAATCATTTAGTAAATGTCATCTAGGAAAATGAAAAATGTTCTTCATTAGTACACTTAGTGCTGCATATCTGGAAACTCAAAGTAATATATACCACTGGGTATAGTGGAGGGCATGCTAAGGGATAATAACATGCCTATTTTCCCACCTTGCTACAGGAACATTTCCTTGCTAAGGAACAATCCCAAAATAAACCTGTAAACCTTAGGGATTGTACCATATATTTTTACCTAGAAATATACTTCCTTGTATCTTCCACATCTCATGAATTAATATTTTGAGTGAAGGGACACCAGTTATACCACCTGTCAATATTGTCAGTTTAAAAAATGTTAAACAATGGTTACCTACGTGTCTGTTCATATTAAGTATAATCCTACATGTTCGCACTCTGCCAGAAATAACATAAAAAAAGGTTCAAATGATGATGCATAAAAGAATAGGAGAAGACCTACTTATATCACATCTTACTACCTAAATTATCATATGTATTATATGAAATTTGCATCTGCCCTCGTTCAAACCTAGGGATCACCTCCCTCTACTCTAGGGGTATCTATCCACTCTACTCTGCTTCTCTTATAAACAGCAACAGGCCACCGCTCATTGCTATTTATGTCTGACTTGACAAACAAAATCATGCATTCAGAGGAACTTAAAGTACTACTATATCTCAAAGGATGATCTGCAAGATCACTTTTCATCTGCAGTGGTGTTTCAATTATATCTGAGATACTATGTCACGGAGAAATGAACCATGTTGTGTACATCTCAGATAATATGTCACGGAGAAATGAACCATATTGTGTTACTAGACAGGTGTGATTGAAACACACTTTTGTTCTACAATGGTCTTTCATTAAAGATAACAATCCAATTCACAAAGCATTAACTCAGCACACATTTGAATGTGACATAACAATACATAGTCTAATGACAAACTAAGGCTATCTGAAAGTGAAAAATGGAAAAATCGAAGTCTTCCTGATTTTTTACTTTGGAAAAGATCCCCGCAATCATAAGATTTTCATTGGACAACAACTGGGCAGGAGTTGGACATTTCAAGATTGCTAAATAACTGCAGCAAATGGAGACACTGCCAGAATAACACAAATAGTGACATTTTTAGGGCCTGTGTGGGGATGCAAAAGGCACTTGAAGCAGGTCAGATGGAGGTCTACTGCAACAGCGAATACTTTCTAAATAAGTTCAGAAGTGCCTAAAACTGTTGTCAAACTGGTGCCATTGACACAAGCCCAAAGCCAATTGACACAGGTCATTATGGGCATTGTGGATTGTGGAACATGTTGGTCCACACTCTATTGTTCTCACATTACACACAGATATCAGCAAGACCACCACAGCATCATAAACACTCAAGATCTTTATTTACCTTGATAATTGCGAATCAACTAATACATATTTGCTATCTTATGTAAACTGTGAAAATCTGAAGCAGCTGTGCACAGCAACCAATCAGCTTCTCTCTTTCATTTTAAAATCTTAACTGAACTAGCTAAAGAGAGAAGCTGATTGGTTGCTATGGGCAACTGCTCCAGATTTTGTCTACTCCTGTTTTGATAAATTCCCCTCTATGTGTTTACAATGTACCTTTACTAAGAGAAATTTAAGGGCTGTCATTGTTGTCTTCCTTTCAAAAACGCTAGTTTGCTTGGCTGTGATGATGACCTCTGAGTTTCAATACTTTACTGACCTGAAACAAGCATGCATATCTTAGACTCCATTAACATGCGTTGCATTAATGTGTATGTTTTTGTGTGTGGCGTCATGCTGCATTAAGGCAGCCAATACATTGTACCTTGTTCAAACCTGTACATCATTGTGTATTATAGTGCAAGTTCATTCTGCTGTACTTTTTATGTGTGTTGATGTAGCATTCATTCTGAATTCATGGCACTGCAGCACAAGCCAATACACTCCTAGTTCCTGGACTGAGGTAGAACAGGCATGACACTGATGTCTGTTCAGCTCTTGGCTTTGTGGCAATAATGTAACACTGGTCATCCCCCTGCTCTCTCTCTCTCTCTCTCTCTCTCTCTCTCTCTCTCTCTCTCTCTCTCTCTCCATCCCTACCTACCAAAGGCTTTTGCAACCTTGAGAACTGAAAGGTTTTCTTTGACTCTTTGCACTTAGCTCTTGGCTTTGTGGCAATAATGTAACACTGGTCATCCCCCTGCTGCTGCTCTCTCTCTCTCCATCCCTACCTACCAAATGCTTTTGCAACCTTGAGAACTGAAAGGTTTTCTTTGACTGTTTGCACTTAACTCTGTGGTTTCTACTATGGCATTCTGTTGCTAGTCAATAAAAGCACCAGAAGTACATCGTCAAAGGTGTTAGTTTAAGTTTAGTTCAAAATTATTGGCACAACAAATGTTTATTACCTTGTTATAGAGTGCAGAAGCACCATACGTATGACATGCATGGATAAGCAGCGCTACGAAACATTTCTTACATGTGCTTATTTAATCTTATGTGTAGCAGAGGTCGAATACTATCCAACAAAGGAGCAATTGTGTGTATAGAAAGAACAGAATTGCCAAATTAGAAGGGCCGCTGATTTGTCCGCTGTTCATAGTTAGTCTTTCAGACAAATATTGAAATACTCTTTTGTTCTCAAATTCAGCATTCCTTGGCATGCTGCACAGAGAGTTGACAAGCACAAGCAGGTTATGTTGCAATCCTTTATACAATGACTGCAAGATACAGATGGAAATAGACTGGTTTTAATAAGTAAATCCCTGGACTTCAGGATGTTTAAAAAACAAAAAACACAGACACACTGATGTATGCCGTTATGTACTTATTAAAAAATATTGAATTGTACATGTGGGCAAAATAAAGAAAACACACATATATATTTCAGTCTGTCACTAGGAACTAGATTCCCATAACATAGTTTCATTACTTGCTGGACCTGCATGTACATCCGTTTTCTTTTTCTACTTCCTTCAACATTGTTGTTACCCTGTGATATGTTTATCTTAGATGGACCTAAAATTTTGAATGAACTTTAACAGACAAACAAATTAAAGGCCAACTCCAGCTAACACTTTTTCAGTTTTTATTGCCACATGTTTTTTTTTTAGCTATAACTGCTAAATGGTTTATGCTATATGAATAAACCACTCCCACTAGTGTCATTTGGATTCTTCTAGGACATGAATCTGCCACTTTTTCTGGACAGCTTGGCCTGTTGCAAGACGTGGAAACCAACGAATTTACTGGCAGGATCAAGAGGTAATAAAGCTGTTACAAGGTGAACTCAAAAAAAGCATATATAATGCTAACTGCATTATATATGCATATTTTGGCGTTGAAGTTGAATTGATTTCCGCCTCTTGTTAGGCCCCATGTACCAGCACGCAGGCTGAGAGAGGCAGCACTACCGTGTTTCCCCGAAAATAAGACAGTGTCTTATATTTTTTTCCACGAAAAAAGACACTAGGTCTTATTTTCGGGGGATGTCTTATGTGTACCTGGCTGCAGCTGTCCGCTCTCCGATGTCTGCTCGTGCGGGTGGGCGTGCGGGTGGGCGTGCGGGAGGGAGCTGCGGCCGCTCTCTGCTCTAATGCCGTCCAGGGAGCCAGACAGGTGGGCGTGCATGTCAAATCATGGCTCTATATTTGTACTGAGCCCTGACACCCCGTAATGTTCGGCGTTCAGCGAACGCTAGAACAGGCTATGTTCGAGTCGAACCTATGTTCGACTCGAACATGCAGCCCATCCCTACTTCAGATGAGCAGGAATCCACTGATGCAAACACTCATGCCAATGCACCTGATTTCTCAAGCATCATACCAGTAACTTTGAAACCGGTAAACAGCTTGGGAAACCTATCAGAGACTTCTACACCAGTTACCATGCAAAATCGTTCTCCTCTTCACAAATAAGCTATACCGCTGCACCAAAGGACCCAAGGTATGCTTTCTGAAGTCAACCTCAGACTCCATAAGATTGCCTTAAACAGTGCTTCTGTTATGAAAGCCTTTCAGCTTGGCGATCATGCCACAGGATTTAAGGACTTAAATCTGGGAATAGACATGTCACCTGTACAGAGAAGTCTGGGCTAATGGTGGAACGTATTATATACTGCCATCTTGTGATCATTTTGGTTATTGCATCATCCTTTTCTGTATTCTCTCCCCTTGTGTGTGTGATGCATCTTGTTTCTTCTTCATATTGTCTTTTTCCCAACATGACTGCATGTCATGGTCACATGTTCATTCCTGAGGTAGGCATTACATTCCTACAAATACTGTCTTTCCAATCATGTGCTACATCCTGTTGTCTGCTGTAACCTGCTACATTCAATAAAGAACTTCGTAGATGAATAAGTATTTGGTGAGTTCAGCTATCTGATAAAGATTATCCGCGGTGAATGCTTCTGCTTATACAGGTCTCGGCAAGAGATACATCACAAGCAATGGATTTTCTCAAGGTCAATTATAGGACAGTGGTAAAATTGATGCTCACTGGTGAATAACAGGTTTTCGACTAATTTCTCTCCATATTTTATTAACTGTTTTGTATCATCGCATTAAAAAAACACAAACTCAATTGGGGTAGAAGAATGTTTTACGTCCATCAAAACCTATCTAGAAAGAAGTGTACTGAACAAATCCCAGGCAAGGAAACCTGAAAAACCATTGGATCCGACAGAATTTCTCCAGACTCAATCTAAAATAAAGTCAGGAAAGAGGTCTAGGCCCTGATGGGGTAATCAAATGATTTTTCAAAACCTTTGCATCACTTCTGACTCTGTTCTTTTCAAAGGCTTTTAATTATATCATTTAAGATGTCCCTTTGTATTCTTCATTTATTGAGATCCACATACAGGTGATTATAAAAGAAAGCAAAGATGCTACACTTTGCTTTAACTATAGACTGATCTTTCCTCTAAATGTTGACACTAATTCTTTTCCGAAAATGCTAGCGAACAGAGGGGTCTATTCACAAAGCTGCCGAGGGCTGCCATCAAGATTTAAACAACAACTACCAGGATTACAAATCACTACACAAGCATCTCCTATGGGAATATTATCCTGACATCTATAACGGAATCACGAATGGTTTTTCTTTTCCCCTCTGTGGCCACCAAAGAAAAAGTGAGTAACTTGGTTACCTATCGATACAATTGTATCCACTGTTGTAATACAGTGTAGTTGCTCACACCAGTGACTGCCTGTCATTCTGCTGATACATTAACCCTGACTGCTCCGTCCTATCATTTGGGCCTTTATAGGGAGGCTGTGTCATTGTTTTTAAACAATTTTAAATGTCTTGTACTAGGTGTTTTACCTTTTATACTGTTTTGATGTTTAAATAAAATGTGTTCAATATCTTAAGCTAATACTGAATTACTTGCTCATTGGATAGCTCCCTCCATGGGATTTCTAGATCAAGCGGAATGTGCTTTGTGAATACTAATTTCGAAACCCAGGAGCTGTTTCCACATAGTTTGTTAAATTTAAATTTTTTTGCGGTACTCCTTTTCCCCGCTCCTTGAATACAATCCTTCTGGGAGCCTCCCGCTCCCGGCTGCCAAGGAGAGAAACCCTGCTGTGTCTTTTTTAGCCAAAGCTATGGCCAGATCCTTCGGCAGCTTTGTGAATAGACCCCAGAAACACATAATTAGTTTCATGAGAAGATGGGGCACCAATGGCCATCTTCTGTCCATAGACAGGGAGAAGATTTTTGACAGAGTTGCTTAGGACCTTTTATTTGCCCTTTTTTATCACTTGACCACTTGGATTGCCAGCTTGTATTATAAGCGCTAGCCTCCTGTCCGAACTATTTATCAGATCGAGACCTTTATCATAAAGATCAACTCTTGGACACATTTTACAGGTGTCAATTTGAGCAGAAAAGAATATCCTGTTTTAGAATTTTTCTATTTTATATTTCCAAAATGAAGTCCCACATCTTCTTGAAGCTCTTGAAATCTAGGGTTATTTTTCAAACTTTAAAATATATACACATAAAATAAAATACACAAATGCAGTGTTACACGCATAAAGTTTACTTCAGAATAAAACTGCATGCACAATTTTTTGCAATCGCCCTGCACTGGAACGCACAGCATTGCGGTACCGTGAGTTCACACTGTGGATGGGTGGAGCGTTTGGGGTGCCATTGAAAAGAAGGGCACTGCAACTTCCCTCCCGCAGCAGAATTTGTCATGCGGTAACCGAAAAGGACTTTTTTCCCACCTTTTATCATTTAAAAAAAAAAATTGTATTGTAAGCATATGGCGCTTGAAGAGCTTTAGCCAGGGAATGACAGCTACCAGTGGCAAGATTCCGCAGCCGGCAGCTGAATGTAAATACAGCAGGTAGTGGACTGGTGCAATAGCCAGTCTGCTATTGTCCATTTTAAATTGCAATAGGCAATAGCAGGCTGGCTATTGCACTCGACCACTGCTTGCTGTGCCCTCCCCCCAGCATGGAGGAGAGAGCTAGGGGATCCAACCAATTAATCGATAATGAGAATAGTTGACAACTATTCTCAAAATTGATTAGTTGATTGCAGTTCAGTTGCCCAACTTTAAACTAACAACTAAGCTAGTCTCCAATTAGGGTTGTAGACTGGCACTGCCATTCAGTTTCAAATGATTGGGTTCCTTTACAGGAAGAGATTTTCTGAATGAAATGTGATCTGGTCTCATGGATTCCCAAAAGAACACAATTTAATTGAGACTTAAACAAATAACAGACACTTGAAACATTCTGGTTCAACTTGGGGAAGAATATAATCTAGCTACAATTCCTGACCCTCTGACCCCAATACCTAGCAACACAGATGTTTCTCTTGGTCTGCCTATACCTTTCACACATACCAAACATGTCAATACAATGCCTAAAGTGAAGGATGTTATCCCAAATTGGAAGTTCTGAGACAGAACTGACTTAAACCCCCTTGGTCTTACTAGCATACTACCTTTCTGGTCATATTTTCAAATTTCACAATTCACAACAAAAACATAATTTCCTCAAACCTTTACTGACTCTGAAAACCATATGCATCACTGGTTTACAAGGGTGATACATAATCTCAGTCCTACACACAATTCTCACTAGAAAGCTATCTGACAAACCGTCTTACTATAAGAAATAGTGGAAAGAAGACCTGTACATTTCTCTGGAAAATGTCAAATAGGAAAATTGTATTCTCACTTACAAATGCTCCATTAGCTCTAATACCCAGAAATCCACCAAAAAACTACTTTTAAGATGGTATAGGAACCTTTAAAAGCTACCAAAAATGTTCCAGAGAACCTTCCACTTATGTTGGAGGGAATTTTTTGCCTCAAGCTCCCTCCTCTATATCTAGTGGGAATGCCACTTGATTACCTCTTACTGGAAGGAAATCCACAACATTATCGGTAACCTAACAAGCCATGCTCTACCCCTCACCCTAATCCTACCTACTATATGATACCAAGACCCCAATAAGCTCATATAAAAGGTTTGTAACCAACCAACTACTTAACACAGCCAAAACTCTTATTACAATTGTAAAGACTAGATATATCATCATCTACAGTACATGATATCATCCAAAAATTCAGAGAATCTGGAGAAATCCCTGTGCGCAACGGACAAGGCCAAAGTGCAATATTGGATGCCCGTGATCTTTGGGCCCTCAGAAGGCACTGCATTAAAAACAGGCATGCTTCTGTGATGGACATCACTGCATGGGCTCAGGAATACTTCCAGAAATCACTGTCTGTTAACACAGTGCCATCCGAAAATGCAAGTTAAAGCTCTATCATGCAAAGAAGAAGCCATATCTGAGCATGATCCAGATCTTTTTGGTAGCCATGGGTGCCGCATCCTCCAGACTAAAGAGGAGAGGGACCTACCGGCTTGTAATCAGTGCTCAGTCTAAAAGCTTGCACCTGTGATGGCATGGGGGTGCATTAGTGCGCATGGAATGGGCAGCTTGCACATCTGGAAATGCACCATCAATGCTGAAAGATATATATAGGTTTTAGAGCAGCATATGCTTCCATCCAGATGGTTTCTTTTTCTTTTGCATATTTTAGCAGGACAATGCTAAACTGCATGCTGCATCTATGACAACAGCATGGCTTCTCGTAGAAGGATCCGGGTGCTTAACTGAGCTGCTTGTAGTCCAGACCTTTCACCAATTGAAAATACTTGTCACATTTCGAAACGAAAAATACGACAAAGAAGACCCAGCACTGTTGAGCAGTTAGAATTCTATATCAGGCAAGAACGGGACAACATTCCTCACCCAAAACTCCAGCAACTGGTCTCCTCAGTTCCCAGACATTTACAGAGTATTGTTAAAAGAAGAAGGGATGCTACACCATGGTAAACATGGCCATGCCCCAACTTTTTTGAAATGTGTTGCTGCCATCAATTTCAAAATGACCTTATATTTTTATTAAAATGGTACATTTTCTCAGTTTAAACATTTCATATGTTTTCTATTTTCGATTGTAAATAAAATATGGGTTTATGAGATTTGCAAATCATTGCATTCTGTTTTTATGTAGATTTTACACAGCATTCCAACTTTTGCGGAATTGGAGTTGTAGTAAAAAAACCCTGAAGACTCAAGATTGATCATTAGCAAAGGTTGGCAGTGCTACTGAATCTGGAAAGAGGGCAAGTAACCATAAAACAGGGAAAAGAACCCCAAAATTACCAGTGGCTCCTGCAAGAGTCATTGCTACAGAAGCAAACATCAACCACAATCACATTGCGCAGCTTGAGAAACAAAATAGGGCAGCACTAGTCTGCAAGTTTAAAATAAAACAGTTTAAGCAATAACTTCAAAGTATAAAGTGTACTCAATAATGTGGCTGTATTGACAAGCAGCAGGTATTCATCATCTTACCTTGGCTTGTGTAGTCAAAGGAATCAGCTTCATCTGGAGTATCAAGATCATCTACATTAATGTCCAGCTCATCTGGGGTGTCAAGGTTGTCATCAGACAAGATGGAACCTTCGCTGTGGTCCAGAGATAAGTTTATATTGGGAGCTGTGAGCTTTATTTTTCTGGCATGAGAGCCATTCAGATCCAATGAATTAGGAGGCTCTAAGAATACAGCAAAATGTTATGAAAACTATGCTTTTATGAAATCCACACAAAAATGCATTTATTTGTACCAGATACAATTTTCAAAGTCAGACCTTGCAATGCATCTGTTAAATCATCCCAATGGTTATAACAACAAAGTGGTCACCATTTACAAAATGATTGTTTAATTGAAATGAAATTGCAAAAAGTTATAACATATATAGATAAATATAACATTACTTAAAAGAAATGTACAAACATTTTGTGTGGCTGATTGTTCTACAGAATAATAAAAAACTGTGAGATGTAAACGGTTTCTTTCTTCACAAGTGAAAATAAAGTTGAATCACTTCCCATGTTTAAAAATAAATCATTTTCAACATTACTGTGACAGTATGGGTATAACTCCACAGAACAACACTACCATAATGAATAATTAAAAACCTTGAAGACATGTTTATAATTCAGGCGGATGTCATCGGCTATTCTTACCAGGTCTGATTTCTGCTGCATCGTATGGGATGTCCATTCCCACATCATCCAATGCTGTTGATCTGAAAGAAGAGAGAGCGCCTACATAATTTGATATGTTTTGTACTCAAAAGTAAAACATTTTAAAATAACAGCTCACAGTCATTACAGCTAGGTTTGCGCTAACCATACGCAGATTTATCTTGCCTGCAATTAAAGTTGACTGCATGAAAAATAATTATATCCTAGAAATATTACATATTTTTTCCCCACTGTTTAAGATAAATAAAATGTGCAAAACATTATCCTGTAGCATGTTCTAAAGCACAGTACTTGGCCCCAAATACTGCATGCTACTGTTGTAGCTTGGTATATCTCTTTGTATATTCCTGGTTAGCTGTCCTGTCATATGTGATGTCATATATCTTCTTTTTCCCCAGCCCTTGTTATGTGCACCTGAAAGAATCTCTTATTCGCAGTCTTATGTCACTTACATATGGCTGCTGCAAGATATATTCCTAAATAGGAGCTTAAAAGAGCATATGGACCAAACAGTGCTACTTTGAAATACAGGTGCACTGTTTACATGGCTATGTGACCAGTTGGTATGGGAAGGCTTACCCACGTGAGGTTATCTGTTCCAAGTAGTGGCTGTAGTCAGTGGGCTCACAGGGGTGGATTCTGTAAACAAGGCAGAGGAAAAGAGAAAATGGGGAGATGGTGTTTGTAAAGACAATTAAGAGTGTTGTGTGCTGGTTCTGTGTAGAAAGATTACTTGCCGTAACAATTCTGTGTCACAAATTTTAACCCCTTCATGACTGAGCTAGTTTTCAGTTTCTGTTCATAAATGACTGACACACTTTTTACATTTTTGCTGTGTGATTCTTCCACAGCAGTAATATACTTTCTTACTAAATGTACCCACACATATTATATATAGTTTTTTAGAGGACAGATAGGCTATATAATTGTATCACATATGTGTACCTAACCCCTTACTTAATCTGAATAAAATAAAAAAAATGAGGAAAAAACTAGAAGAAAACACTTTTTCCACAAGTTTTGATTAGTATTCATTTTTTAGCAGAGGGGGAGCTGCCACTAAAGCACAAGTAAAGTAATCTTGTTGCTGGGAGATGAATGTGTAAAGAGTTCTACAGTACGTAGTGTCTCTGGTTGGGTCACTAGTGCTGACTGGAGAGTTCTACAGAGTTCCTCTTTGCCTACTACAGTGCTACAAGAAAGATAAGAGTCGATTTACTAAATGCAAATAGGCTGTTCACTTTGCAAGGAAATTAGCACTTTTTAACATCATTTTCTCTTAACTTAGTGAATGTGGTGAAAATTCACTTTGAAAAGAATGCCAAATCACGTGCCAGGATTTTCTTTTTTTGTTAAAACAGCAATTTTGGTTGCACATGATTGGATGATGGAAGTCAGGAAAGCTTCACCTCATTCCAAAGGAAACATTCCCTTGCAAAGTGAACAGGCTGCTTGCCTTTAGTAAATCAACCCTATGGTGTTCCTGTGCCAACTACACCATTGTACCTGTGAAATTTACTATACAGATACATCTTTTTACAGTTGCATAGAGACTGTGGTACAGAGTGTTTTATTGCACTTTTTCTTTTGTAAAGAGTCATTAAAAAACATTGTCAATAATTACTTTGCATTCATTTAAGAGTGTCACAAGCCCCAGTGGACTTTGAATTTTATTATATCAAACTGAATCTGAACTTGCCTATATTGTTTCTAAGCTAACAAAAGTGCTAAAGTTCAGGTTCCTCATCAAGGTTAAAGTGACATTAAACCCTCAGATTTTTTAACATAAACCAATACTGTAATGTGTGCCTTACTGTAATCCATGGTTGTTACCCTTCTCTTTGCTGCTCTTCCTTTTAAATCCTCATGTCTTCTCATGCTAGGGGAGAACTTCCCTTCTCAGCTCAGGGCCTCTTCCTGTAGTGCTGGCTCAGGTTACAAGCCTATACAAACCTATACACAGACACCGTGTATCCATTCCTGAGACAAGGCAGTCTGCTGCAAAACAGAAGTTCTGCAGAGCATGAGAACAGATACAGATTTAAAAGGAAGAGCAGCAAAGAGAAGAGTAACAACCATGGATTACAGTGAGGCACACATTACAGTATTGTTTTATGTTAAAAAATCCTCCACCCTTGTCTCCCTCTCAGGGCTCTGAGAGATCGGAGGGATCCCAGCACTCCTCACAGGATGACAAGCAGAGGAGCACACAGAATCGCTCTACCCCGGCGATACAACGGCCGCCCGCCTCCCCAGCAGTGCGGAGCCCTGTAAAATCGAGGCCCCGGCTTTCGGGCCTAGTGGAGGTGGTGAGCACTTCTAATCAGGCACTTGATGACACAAGGGAACTGTTCGCTTCCATTGAGAACTTCCCTACAGCCAATCAGCCCCTCTCCGACACCACCCTTAAAGATATGCTAGTGTCCTTGAGGAGTTTGCTTAATACTGATATTCAAGCCCTAGTGCACCAGTTCAAGTCTGACCTGCATGAGGTGGGGGAGAGGGTCACTCACATTGAAGATAAGATGGGGGACTTTGCGGACACCTTCAACGAATTGGTAGACGCTCACAACGACAGGGAGGACGACATAACCTGGCTGCAAACTAAGGTGGCGGACCTTGAGGACAGGTCACGTCGTAATAATATTAGGATAAGAGGCATCCCTGAGTCTGTCCGCCCCGATGACCTATCCGCCTATGTGCAAGCATTCATGACAGCGGTCCTACCGGATGTTTCCTCGCCAGACCTGATTATTGACCGCATACATCGTCTACCTAAGCCCTCACACCTTCCGGATGGCATACCAAGAGACACCTTGCTCCGTATCCATTTTTTTCACGTGTGGGAAAGGCTGTTCAAAGCACTGAGAAACCCGGCTGACCTCCCGCCACCTATGCCAGGATACAGGTGTTCGCTGACCTCTCTCAGTTCACTCTCCAACTCCGGAGGAAACTGGTGCCTGTCACGAAAGCCCTTAGGGACAACAAAATTCTCTACCGGTGGGGGTTTCCGACTAAGCTCATGATAACTAAGGACAGCGATCTATACACTATCACCACCCTGGAGCAAGGCCTTGCTCTCCTGCAACAATGGTGGATGGCCCCTGCGGCTGAGGTCCTCCCGCCGTCCTCCACCAAATCGGCTTCTGATTGGCAAGTAGTCTCCCGCAAGCGGGGTCCGAGACCAAACGACTGACAACAGCCAACTGAGCCGTTATGTTCTTATCTCAGCCCATGAGGTCTAGTGGGCCACTTTGGTGTTACCACCCCAGTTTGATGTTCAGTTGCGATAACTGCTTCCCTGTTCCATCAGGGAAATGTTTTTTATTTGACTTGTCCCACATTGATATCTCTTTACTTGTCTTTTTGCAGTCTTTGCTCTTTCTCTTTTTTTCCTCACACAATGGGAAGAGGTACCATCCGCCACTATACGGAGACCCACTCTACAACCTAGATCTCACCCGGCATCCTGACTTCACCACTGCGGCCACAACCCGCCCACGGCCTGGTTTGCCGGCGCAACTCCGTGAGTACTGTACACGCACCTACATACGCTACTTTTATCTGACCCATGGCTGTACAGATCCTATCTCTTAACGCCAAGGGCCTCAACCACCCAGCTAAGAGACGCTCATTATGGTTGGAACCTGTCAAACACCACGCGGATATAGTGTGCATCCAGGAGACCCACTTCTGTAACTCCCCTCCACCACAGTGCTCTCATAGGAGCTTCCCTACTGTCGTTACGGCTAACGCCACTTCCAAATCCAGGGGTGTTCTTGTGGCCGTCAGAGACACTGTATCCTTTCACCAACTTGAGGTACACACTGACCCGATGGGCCGATACATCATTTTAGTATGCTCTATCAACTCCAAACCCTACACCATCGTGAACCTTTATGCACACAATACCCACCAAACACGATTTGTTACTCGCCTTCTTAAAAAGGCACGGAAAGTCCAAAAAGGGGCACTGATTGTGTGTGGGGACTTTAACCTGGTCCCGGACAGGGTCATGGATTCCACCTCCTCGCCTCAGAGGCGACTGCCGTCCCTTCAACCTACTATCAATAGCAATGGCCTGTTTGATGTATGGCGATGTCAACACGCCGGTGAGCGGGACTTCACGTTCTTTTCCCCTCCACATAAATCATATTCCAGGATAGACTTGTTCCTGGTGGACCGCACACTACTGCCTTGGATACAACACACCTCCATCCACGACATCACCTGGACCGATCATGCCCCTGTCTTGATGTCGATCTCATCCAACCATCCTACCTCTAACTCTTTTGTTTGGCAATAATTGGTAATAATGTCTTTCTTTTACAGCAGGCTGAAACGGTGAAGTCTATTACCAATAGCTTGGTAGAGTTCTTTGATCTTAATGCATCCTCTGTGGAGGACCCTTTTACATTGTGGAACGCCCATAAGGCGTATATTAGAGGTTTATTGCTTCAACACAGTTCTAGGTTCAAGAGGCAGAGGACACGGGCTCTAGACCAGCTCATATCTGAAATACGCAAACTCGAGGCTGAGAACAAACGACAACCCAGTCCTGACTGATCCTTGACTCTGTCCCAACTCCGCTTAGACCTTAGGAAATTTCTCATGGAACAACACTGCCGACACTCCATGAATGTCAGGTCTAACTTTTATGTTAGTGGCAGTAAAGCCAGTAAACTTCTGGCCTCACGCCTAAAAGCCCAAAAGGCTCGTACTAGAATCCCTTATATATTGCGCTCCTCTGACAACCACAAACTATACCATCCCCAAGAAATAGCCGAAGCCTTTTGCGCATACTACAAATCCTTATATAACTTACGAGATGAAGCACCTACCCACCAACCCACTTGTCCTGATGGGTTTCTGCGGTCCCTTCATTAACCTAAGCTTACGTTTTCCCAACTAGATAGACTCCAATCTCCATTTACTGACACGGAGTTGAACAAAATCATAAAATCCATGCCCAATAACAAATCCCCTGGCCCAGACGGGTACTCCAACGAATATTACAAACTGTTCGCCTCTACACTCAGCCCTCACTTACTTAAGGTCTTTGACGCCGTGGCATCCTCTGCCTCTTTTCCTGCTGAAATGCTTCGTGCCTTGATTGTTATGATCCCCAAGCCGGGGAAGACTCCGGACCAACCTCAGAATTTCCGGCCAATTTCCCTCCTGAATTCTGATGTAAAAATCTACGCCAAACTAATAGCCCAACGTCTCAATGACATTATGCCCACCCTGCTACACCCTGACCAGAAGGGATTCACGCTGGGTCGAGAGGCTCCGGACGCGACCAGGCGGGTTATCAACCTGTTAACACAGGTCGAGCGCTCTCGGGCGCCTTCTCTGTTCCTGGCTTTGGACGCAGAGAAGGCATTCAACAGGGTCAACTGGTCCTATCTCCGGGGGGTTCTCCTGAAGTTCGGGTTTGATGGTAGAATCACCGATATGATCATGGCATTATACTCTGCCCCCTCTGCACAGGGGTTCACCTCCAGTGGACTCTCCTCGCCATTCACCATTACTAATGGTACGAGGCAAGGATGCCCCTTATCCCCCTTGATATTCAACCTTTTGATAGAGCCCCTCGCTGAGTCCCTCAGAGCCGATTCAGAAGTTCGGGGGATCAGTGT